GATCGGCAAGTTCAACATAAGAAATAAAGGAATTAGTTCTGTTTATTTCAGCAGTTATCTAATTTTAAGCAATAGCCTAAATATAATTATGGATAATAGAACTATCAAAACCTGAATTTAAATTTGCAATATTTGACATCAATGGAATTCAAATGCAGTATCCTTCAAAAGCATACTAATTAAACTTAATTGGTTAACAACAATATAAAACCATATAAAACCTAATTACTCAAATATCAAAATGAGCTCTAGCTGTCAGGGCTTTCAGCTCGAATATTATAAATGAGATGTTTACTGACTAGAATACAGGCTTTAAAATATTTACATATTAAAAGTATATTTTTAACAGTAAATATAAAATTTTTTATATTTTTATAAAATTATATTATATGAAAATTTAATTTAATTTAAAATTGAAATATTTTGATCTAATGAAAAAAGGGAGTGGCATAGGAGTGTTGAAGTGAGTTTTACAGCTTCTTCTACATCTGCATTTTATCATTTATCTCAAGTTTGAAATTACTAACTCGAGCTTTAGATATTGTTACTTTTTTATTTAACTTCATAAACTATATAACTGATGTATATTGATTTTATTTGTTTTGTACTACTATTTTATACTCAAAAGGTGGCTCTGAGCTTCAAATTTGGCAGGACATGAGTTCGATTTGGTACTTGTATTCTCAAAAATTATTTACGAGTAATTAAATACAATAATTATTTCCAAGACCACTGATGATGGGTAAATATAATATAATTAGTAACGCTGGGGCTGATATTTTCAGCCCCAGCGTTACTAACGTTACTGATTATGATTTGAGCAGAAGTTTTTAGTTTAAAGTGTTAAAGTATTCAAAAAAGAAACAACGGTAGACCACCCCGAGTTTATTTCTTATACAACTGAGAGCTACCTTAGTGTGTACATAATGGGTTCAAGCCATTGTGTAATAGGGCTACATTGCATCTTACTGGGCTAAGTTTTCTTTATAGTCTGTTTTTGTTAGTTCTCTTTACAAATCACTGAGTTTATAATAACTCAACATTATATAGCATTTTTAGTTATAGTATTTTATGTTAAAAAGTGTAGGGAAGACAAGAAGTCTATGTTTCTGAAGGATATAATAAATATTATTTAAGTGTAATTAAGTACTTTTTGTTGGATATAATTACATATAATTAAGTAAAAAAAATATTCTTACACACATTTTAGTATGTTTAAAATATGTATTTATAAATAACATATCTCACAGGACACTTCCTGTATTCTTTAATAATGTTTAATAAATCAAAATCTTAAACACAACAAATAATTCACAAATAATAAAGTTTACAATGTTGCCATATTTCTAAACTGCTTCTCCTTTGCACTTAAGTTTATATGTTTGTTCTGCTGTTAAACGCCTATGAAACGTTGTGATTCATAAATTTATTTACTTGCTTGTTTGTTTGTTTATTTGTTTTGTTTGTATATGAACGAATATAAAATTATAAAACAAATATAAATACTAACACAAATGTAAATGAGTATGTTGGCCCCAAATGCATTTGTAGAAAGATTTTTTAAATTTACTTTTTAGACTTTCTAAAACTTTTATGTGAGGTTAATAACTGAACCGCGCCCGTTTTCTGGCATCTACAAACAAAAAGCGATGATTTATGATAATTTCTCTTTACTATTTATTTTTCGATTTATTTTATTTTACCCAAAAAGGAACACTAATAAATTTTTCTGATAAAATATCACAGAAATGCACATAAATAAAATATGGTGAAAGGGAATGTATAGAAAATAAAATAATTGTAATAAAAAAAAAATGGCGGCAAAATAAAATGAAATGAAAATACGCTGGCAGACATTTTTGATTAGCTAAAGTGGCTTACACATAAATATAAGCGCGTATGTGTGCATGTGTGTGCAGCATTTTTCACTTTATAAGCAAACATGTTTGTGGTACTACTTTTGAGACTATTTCAGCTCCAGCGTTAGCCGTAAGAGTGCCAAGTGAAAGACCAACTACGTGTTACAATCATTTGGCGGAAATTTTCAAACTCACCACGGTATGTGTGGTGAAAGTTTTACTTATTTACGTGCTATTGTTTTAGCTATTGCAGAAAAGTTTTTCCACTTTACTCATTTCCTGTTTTTGCACAAATAGTAATAACAATGCATGGGTGGATGTGAGTGTGTGTTTGTTTACGTTGCTTTTGTATGTAAGTATATTTTATAAATGGAAGTGCTTGGAATTGTTGCAATGTATTTGTGTGAGTATTGTAGCCATTCCATATATGAATTGTGCGCTCCCTCATTTCAGATGTATTTGCAATAATGCGCGCGCAAGTTTATATTTATTTGTATTTGTTTTATTTTATGTATTTTTTACTTTATACGAGCGTATATATTTGAAACGTTTACATTAACTAAATGTATATAAAACAAATAGTATATTTTTCGGCGCACTTTGGAGGTGCACTCTTATCACATGTAGAGCAACAATATTTTTGCTTGTACATACAAATCAACGCATTTAAAATAATAACATATTAATGAGCATTTCTTTATTTACCTAACATAATTTGAACATATATTAGGTTTTGTTTTAAATTTAATCTTTCAAATATTTTATTTGAGTTATCTTATGGCACAATTGTAAATTTCATAGAAACATATTTATTATAAATATGTTCTTGGTTTGCGAATTTCTTAGGATATACAAAATGATATATTAACATTTTTGCAGTACTTTGATATTTATATCAAAGAAAGCAAATACAGCAAAATATTATGATAAAAACACCTTTCATAAACAGTTGTGCGGGTGTTTTTTAAGCTTCTTTGTATTTGAGTTTTGAATGTTCTAAATAAATATTTCAACTCCTACCTGCTCAGCAAATTTGAAGTACAGATATACAGCCTACACACATATTCAATATATCATAAAAATTATGGCTTGTATATTATGTAAAATATAATTCTAATTACATTTCACAAACTCAAATAAGAAATGTTATTAATTCTTAAAATTCTTAAAATGCCAATAATTTAATTTAATTATTTCTTTTTTATATAGTACACAGTAATAAAAGTCATTGTCACTCACAATGAAAAATCATTTGATGCTTATAACATAACATCAAACATATGCAGACATTACTGTGTGTGAGGACCTAAATGAAATATTTTAAGAAAATTTAGTTTTTTTCGAAGAAAAATGTATATAGGTCTCTTGCACACCAGCAGTTTTGAATAGATGAACAATATTTTGATTACGGTACTACTCTTAAGATTGTTTAAGCTCCAGCCAAATACGTGTTCCTATTATTTAGCTGTTGCATGCTTATAGTTTTTGATTTTTAAAAAACTAAAGTTTGTCTAATTCCAATTCGAACAGCAGATTTGAGATCGCTTTGGGATAATACTTTAAAAAGTGTGATACTGCTCGCTTATGCCGACGATATAGATATATTTGGCCTGAACACCCACTCAGAATAGTGTTTAGAATTAAAATTAGACGTCAAATTTTTAAACCAGTAAAGATATTGAAATAAGTTTATCTTAAATATATATAAAAGCTTTCTTTAGAACATATTTTGAGCCCAATCGGCTTATCGGAAATCCTGAAAATTTAGCAAAAAAAATATAGAATTACAAATAATTTAAAAACTAACGATCAATCCCATTTTTTGTATAAAGTTGTATTTTTATATATATATAAAATATCTAATAGTATTAAGTAATCTAATATATGTAATAAATATTCTAATAGAAGTGAATATTTTTAAATATAATAAACACTTTCGAATCTGTGGTAAAAGGAATAGGTGATCAATGATATAAGCGCACTCAGTATTACCAACTGACGACAGTAACTCACTGATTGGGCTGGGTTCCTGAAGCTACTTCATAAAATAACAGCAAAATAAAAAATAAATAATTCCAATTCGAGAAAACACAGTCTTTTTACTACATATTTAATATTGATGTAAAATTAAAACATTTTCTTATAATCTCAATCTGGGTTCTAAATTTCAGATAGTCCATAATGTTACAAAGAGTTCGATAGGATGTTATGAGAAGATATTAGGTACTATGTAAGCACTTTTAGTTCTTTGTTTGTCAGGGAAATAATGATTTGGGAATAGATATTATTTAACTAAACAAAGAAACTTCCACTAAATTTGAAATTCCGAGATAAACTGCCAAATTCTATACAAATAAAAAATACAATATATGAAACATAAACTTTAATATACTATTTCTTACCATTGAACGTTTCTGCATTTTCTTATTAATTTTCTCTAAAAAATACTGTTTCTAGTACTAATTGTATATATCATAATAAATTTATTTTAGCAAGATTTTAAAATTTAAATCCTTATAATTTGTTTATTATAATTTTATTTATTTTAATTAAATTAATTTTCTTATTAATAAAACTTGTTTGTATTTTATAATTTCTGTTTATATATAATATCTTCCCAATATATGTAAATTTGTGAAAGGATATATTTATTTTTAAATTATTTAAATAAATATATATCAGAAATTATAATTAAGTTTATATTTGCAAAAATAAAGATAAACTATTTTCTTATAATTTAAGAAAATGAATTATTTTTAAGAAATAATCTCTACTTTTAAAATTATTTTAAAATACAAATATTAATTAAATTACTTAGTATGTTAAATTGTATATATTATATTATAGTATATATTTTTTTAATACATTTTAAAACAAAAAATTTAAATAAAATATTGAAATTCTATTTTTTAGGTTGATTTTGGTGAAGTGTTTATCCCACCGGGTCTAGATGTACCTAAGCCACGTGTACTTCCTGAGTTTAAACGTCTTGCGCACGGTTTACGTTCAAGCAATATTAGTGTTTTAGATGCCAAAACATTCTACATTCCCAATTTGCACTACGATGGCGCTGGTCCAGATGCATACTTCTGGGTTGGCAATGGATCAGAACCCAACTTAATGGGTGTAAAGGTAAAAAACAAAAAAATTAAACTTTAACTAAATATAATATAACGATTAATATTTATGCATTAGTAATAATTATAATAATCTAATATAATCTATTATATTATAATTATATATATTAATATACAATAATAAATTCAAGTTTTTTCATTAAAAATAATACAATTTTTTTATGATATTTGAAAGAATCATTCTAGAGATATTAAATTTTTTTTTTTTGCGGTTTTTGCAGATGTTTGTTTTTGACTCCATGAGTCTTAGTATATATTAAAAAGAGACTACAAAGCAATACAACTTTTTCAAGAAATAAATTTCCATAATTTATGTGCTTTTGTTAGGAAATAGTCTGCATATATTATGTTTAGGGGATTTGATCTCGACATATCTGTCCAAAATAAAGTAAATAAATAAATTTTCATTTAAACCAATATTGATAGAAATATGTTTCTATTGTTATATTAACTGTGACATTATTTTTTGAAACCAATTTCAATACAATTATATATACATTGATGTTATTTGTATCATATAATTGAAGTATATAGTACATTTTAGGGATGTAACCAAAATAGATAGGAGTAACGTCGTATGGACGCTATTTAATAAATCATGTTTTATATTAAACTAATGCTATTTGTTATAATTATCTTACAAGAATCATGGACCTTTTATATATCACGAAAAAAAAATTGTTTCACCTAATGCACTATTTTGATTTTTTGTAGCACTAAAAATAAAGTAGTATGCAGATATTGCACATGTTATACTAAAAGGCTATAATCAATACTACTTTTGAATGATAATTTCGTAATATTAAAGGAATAATTCATTTTAATAAGAGAATGAACCCAGTTATGGTAATTGTAGGTAGTTCCTTAAGAATTAAAGTATAAAGGTTTAATTAAAATTTATAAACTTATTTTATCATGTAGAATTCCTCTATAGAAATACTCCGATGGATCAGATAAGTCAATTAAAAGTATAGTATAAGTTCTGGATACCAAAATGTGTAGTGTTTCACAAATGATAATTTAAATCTTTAAAATTAGCAAAAAATGTTCATTTAATCACTTAATAATAAACTTTATGCTTCGGTATTTCAAGGCATAACAGTAATTAATACTATAATTTAGTAATTTTATAGTTCTATTATACTATAGTATATAAAAAACTATTAATTAAAATATTTCATTCATTTAATCTACTGTTATATTACTAAATATATGTCAGTTCCTAACAAGAGAGCTTTTGCACTCACAAGGTTTTAGGCATGTCGTGATACGAGTACCATTAGGAGATTTACTTTACTGCTACTTTTCGACCATTTGTCGACCATTTCTAGCTGTATCAAATCTTTGAAAATGAAACATCCTAAGGTCTCAACTCTTTTTCTGCAGAGAACTAGATAATGATATTATATTCCATCTGTTAATTTCTGTAGAACTTGCTGCCGAAGACACTCAAATAGATTGTGTGTATGCTTATTATGAATGGTTGTAGTTTTGTGATCTCTAGACAATTTTAGCTGAACTAAAAAAGTTTCCACATAGATAACATAGAGGGTATGGTAACTTTATTGAGGTATTTTTAAAATTGTGATATATTGCTAAATAATCTTATATACTTGGTACCTACTTAGTTAGACCGACTTAAATTAAGAGATATTTGTCGAATAATGTGGGTGTTATTTTGAATAAAAAGTTTTCCGAAATCAAAAAACCGAGTAAAAATCACCACAATATTTTATATATATATCATAAGCATGATCTATCTCTAAATGTTATTATATTAACTGTTTGATATAATTACGCCTTTTAACTGAAATTATACTTTTGAGTGTTCTGCTTTGGTTTAAAGTATTTGTTAAGCAATAGTTTTTAGCAAACACTGAATGAATCTGATCAATCAATCACTGTACTCACCTGATATGGTCCCGTATGATTTTTGTCTGGCCCAGTAAATAAAATGACCACAATAAAAGGTGGTGATTGCTTTAAAAAGCATTTTAAATTTATTTTGGCTATAAAAGAAATCCGGTAAAGAAGATTAAGGCAAACGTACCACACTCTGTTTACGAGAAATATATGAAGGTTTCTGCATCGGAGGCTGCAACACCTACTTTAAGGGTTATAGAATAAATTCTAAATGATTAATGATATTTTCTTCTGTTTAATTAAATAATATCGTACACTTTTTACACAAAATATATCTATCTATATGTTTGGATATTTGATTATTGGTGTGTAAACTAACTTGTCAATTTTTCCATCAATAAAATTATATATAGAAACATTTTCAAACCCAGACTTAAAAAGTTGTCTGGGTAATCTCACTAAATCTAGTGAATTGAAAATAGAGAATATAGTCATCATACTTTTATAAAAAAAACTTTTTAAATAATTTAACATATATAAATATTTATTATTTAATTATTACTTTTTTATTAGAAAAATTTTAATCATTTTAATCAACTTTAATATTCTCTCATAGGTACCGAATGAGATTGGTTCACTGGAACCGTTGCGTGGATATCAAGGCGAAGATATTGAAATCCAACTGCCAGACAAACTGACTGTTTACGATATAGATTGGCTGGCGGTATGGTGTGTGGAATACAGGCATAATTTTGGACATGTTTTCATACCAAAAGACTTAGATGTACCACCAGCCTTGGGCCAAACTAAAATTACTGTAAGTAGTTGTTGTTGTTCCGTTTGGAGTAAGCAATTTTGCATAGTTTTAGTTACTCTAGTGCTCCAAATTCAAACTATTAGTTTACATACTTTGCATAATTAAATAACATTTTGCGTGGTGTAAATTTTATTGCATATCATAATTCACAACATTAAACATTTGTATTTTTATCTTTCAAATGCATTAGCCTCCATGGTGGTACACACCTGTAAGTATAGTTGTAGTAGTGATAATAAAAAAGTTCATGGCAATTTGCAGTAATAAAACTAAATTGCATTTCAGTTACTTTCAGTTAAATTTTAATGTTTTTGTTTTAAATATTTTTACATATTTTCAGACTACAACAACTACACCACGCCCAGTTTATGCCAATTGTCGCGAACTGTTGCCTAATAGACTACAAGTCAAGTGGGAGTTGCAAGGCGAATATTTACAAATTGAACTATTTGGACGTATTAATGAGGATCAGTACATGGCCTTTGGTCTGTCAGGTGCTAATGGACGTGCACAAATGTCACAGGCGGACATTGTTGTTGCATTTTATGACACCACTGCAAGAGTATTCCGTGCCGAAGACTATTTCATTTCTGATTTATCACAATGCGACGGTCAACATGGTACTTGTCCAGATGAACGCATCGGTGGACGAAATGATGTTATAGTATGTAAGTAACTGAAGTTAATTCATTCAGTGATATATATATATATATATATATCGTTAATCTGTGAAGCAAAACTTTAGCAACTTGCTAAAATATAGAGTAGATTAATAGCAACTTGGAAATAGAGTAGATATAGTACTTTAAGCAAAGAAGTATGTATGTCTTAATATTGTTTACATAGTATTATTCTTCATATCTTAATAACATACTCCTTTACTTAAAGTTTTATTAAGTATTAAGATATATTAAGATACTGACTGAGACCAGCAAATAGCATATATTCAGCAGATTTAAATCTTAACAATACTCTTTTGTAGTGAGTGGTGATCGTAAAAATGGTGTAACAAGTATACGCTACAAACGTCTATTACAAACTAATGAACCTATTTATGATTTGGCAATACCAACGGATCGTGAAGTTTCCGTTATAGCCGCTATTGGTCCGCTGAATAGCCGCAAGGAAGCTAATGCACACGCACATACCGCTAGCGATCATAACGTCGATGATATACGCATCAATTTTTCAGCACGTGTAAGTAGTTTATGCTTAAATTATTCATAAAAAATTATAATTAATTATATTCTAAACTTTTTAGAATGATCACTCCTGCAAAAATTCACTATACAACGTAAAAGATGAAACTGGTCCAGCACCTTGGCCTACACGCACCATTATGAATGAATATATGTTTACAGCTAGAATTGGTCCTACCGGTGGGAAACGGGGTTATACACCAATAACTGGTGTACCATCTTGGGGCATTGCTTGGTACTTGAATGATCTCTTAATACCAGAACTTACTGTGCAACGTGGAAAAACTTATGAATTTTATGTGGAAGGTGGTAATAATCCCTCACAACCAGCCAGGTTTGTTACAAAATTGATTTTAAATAAGAAATGGATTTATTTATTTTTTATTTACATTTAGATATCATCCTTTTTATATAACGGACTCACCTGAAGGTGGTCTTGGCCAAAAGACTGGTTTGGAATTGAATAAACAAAAGACTTATGCAGGTGTTGAATATGATGAAGATGGTAATGCTATACCAACGGCAGGTAAGATCTTATTGAAAAAATTGTTACTTAAGTGATTTTTTTTATTAATATATTATATTACTATTTTTAGCCGGTCGTTATTGTGAATGGGAACATCGCACTGTCGATCGTTCCGCCGAAATTGATACCTTTGAGGAATATATGAAAACTTTGGAACTAGACTGTGAAGATGGTGAGCCTGGCTATTTAAATTGGACCGTACCAATGGATGCACCTGATTTGCTTTATTATCAGGTATTTTAAAAATTGTTTGAAAATAATATTTGGTATTTTTAATATTTATCGTTTTTTTGTTTAGTGTTTCACCCATAATAACTTAGGGTGGAAAATAAATGTCATCGACAGTAAAGACTCCGCTGCTGGTCTTAAACTAACGGCAACCCAAATACTTATATGCTTTGTATCTACTGTATTTAGCCTGGTTGCGACACAAAATATTATTGGTTATAGATTATTTGCCTGATAGTCAATTAATATAATACTAAATTAAATTGGCAAATTTTGTGATTTTTATTGATTTGTTTAGGGTACTGTTTCAATTCTTTTTTTTTTGTTTTTGTGTTTTGTAACTATTTCCATATCAAGTAGATAACTGTTTATCCAGTTCAATTAAAAAAACCATATCAAAATAAGCACTTGAATCTTAAAATAACTGAGGTTTATATACAATCACATATCCAAAATAGTCAAAAAGAGATTATTCTACATAGTTCTTTGATTACATATCATATTGTAATTACATATCATACAAACGCTGCTAATTGAAAAACAAATGCATGTCCTACTCTCCTATTTCATATTGCCGTTTTTCTAACATCTAATTTCGTTTCCTAAATATTCTACTCTAACTATATCAAACGGTATATAGTAAAATGTTGGATAAATATGAAACATTTGATAGAAACCTCTAGGTCACTAAGGTTTGATAATGTTAACGTTAGAAACAAGATTAACTGCTTGGTTTAACATTCTAGCGCTTGGTATATTTTTTGAAACCATTAAACTATATTAAACTATATATATAGAGATGCTTTATTGATGCTTTTTATTATTTTCCTGATAGTTCAAAAGCACCAATGGTCAACCTTTAAGATCTTAACTCACTAAATGTACATCTTAGGAATGAATAAATAATAATTCGGACACTGGACGGAAGTAGTGTTGAGAATTCTATTCCAGTAGACAAGCACTTAAGTTAGTAGGCTTAATGTTTAAAAATCTGAATTTATCTAACTTAAATATCAGAGATGAGGAAAGGTTAGTTTGTTGAAGAGGGTTTAGTGATCTTCTGCTCTGAAGGTAAAATCTTTTAAATATAAATTAACGGATAAGGATGAGGAAAGGTTAGATTGTTTAAGGGAGTTAAGTGTTCTTCTACTTTGAATGTAAAATCTTTTAAATATAAATTTACAGAAACAGTATTGAAAACTGATGCTACCATACTTCATCGGTCAACACTTTCAGCTTCTTCCGCTTCTTTTAAACTGAAATTTACGAAATCATACATATAATACTTATTAGAAAAGGCAGAGTATGGAAAATTTATACGAATTGAGAAAAAATTAAAATAAATACATTAAAACAGAGTAATATAACCGTAGAAAAATGAAGAGATTTACAAAAATATATAGGTGAAATATGTGTAAAAAAGGAAGATATTAAAGTTCATTACTTTATTAGATAAGAGACTAGATAAAATAAATTAAAAAAGGAGAAGAAACAGATAAGTGTAATTAAAGATAAACATTGAGAGGAACTGATATACCAAAAAAAACTGAATGAAGTGCATTATATATTTCTAACAAAGTATATAATAAAGTCCCAATCGGTAAAGAATTACAAAAGTACTACTGATTTGCCAAAACCGATAATAAATGTTTATAAAGATTATTTTTAGTTGAGATTAAAATTATCTTTGAGTGGTAGATATTATTCCAATTCTCAATATACATATGCATATTTTAATTGATTTTAGTATTGAACCTACTTTATTGGTTCTTTCTTCTTCATTCAATATAAGATAATCACTAGGTAGGTTTTTTGTTTATGCAGTAATGCCGAGCAAGCTTCCAGCACATTTTTTATAGTATCATTCTGCTTCCATCTTTTGTAAATGGTGGTTTTGTTAAATCTATCTGGGAAATTCTTTCGTGTAGGCTTCAGGACCCGACAAGCTTCCAGCATCTATTTTAAGGTCTCATTCACTTTTCACGTCTTGTAAATGTTTATTTTATGGAATATAAATCCTTTAAAAGTAAAAGTTGTATAGATTTGTATATTCTACACTGAGTAAGGTATTTTGCAGTTAAATTTTAAAAACAAAAGATATATAAAAATAACATTATGTTAATAAAATTTCAAATCTCTTCAATTGAATATAAGACACAGTCTGGAAGTAACTCAAATTCAATTCAAATATTTTTAAAAATGTGTATAACATAACAATGTATGTAAAAATAAACAGTTAATTATAAATTAATGTAGGAGGAGTATAAAACTTTTCAATAAAATAGAGGGAAATCGAAATATTTTTACTAACATTCTACAGTTCCGGATCTGTAGGATGTTATATATTATATATTAACAAAGACATGCCGAAAATCATTTCCAAAATATCTAGTTCTACACAAGATAATGCTATGATTGTATAATTGTTTTATTAAAAGAGAAGATATACGTTTTTTTATTATTACTAGGCTGAGGTCATATGACTTTCGTCGTGATAACAATTTATTAAGAGAAGATATATATAAAAATAAAACAAGATCTTAATACACCTATATACCAATCTTTATAAACCTTTATTTCTATATTTATATATTTATTATTTCTTACTAGTTTCAAGAACGCAGTACTCTAATGAAAATCTATTAAATTAACAAATAAATATTGTATTTTTTTAAATATAAAAGTGCTGTTCGCAAGCATTTTTTATAAAATCATTAATTATCAACCAGGCTAATATCAGAGAAAAACATATCTTGACAATAATTTTTAAGAAATATTTAAGAAACAGAAAAGTAATTAATATTATTAATATTAAAAACAATTAATGTAAAAAAAAGTAAATAATGAAAGAATTGTGTGTATAGATGAGTGACAGTTAAGAGTACATCGATTGTAAAGGTTTTCTTCTTTCTGTTTTTTTTATATAACATATTTAAATGATATAAAATACTTTTTTAGCTAATTAATTATACATAAATGTACATTTTTTTAAAAAATATAAATTTGTTTTAATTTTTTTATGTATACAATTTTTTAGTAAATATTATTAAGTAAAATAAGCTGACAATAATAAAAGAAATGTTGACAATATGACAATAACTCTTTAGACAATAAATGCATACAATAATGGCACATTAGAAAAAAAAAAACAAAATACAACAGAATATAAATGTAAAATATTAATATTATTAATTATTAGAAGAAAAAAATTTGGCTCAATTAAAAAACTAAAAATTACTATAAATATATTTAAATTCAAAAATTAAAAAAAAAAAATTTGAAAATAATAATAAGATAATACATATATATCAATACTGTAAGACAATAAATTTATATGTAATTAATTTATAAATTCTGTGTGTAATTAAATTTAACTAAAAGTTAGAAAACAAAAAATTATATTCAATTAAATCACTTATTGATATATTATAAAATTTATAAATATATATACAAAATAAAAAAAAAATTTTCTGGTTTTTAGGATTTTATAAATGTTTTTTTTTCCTTTTGTAGCTCATAAATATTTTTTATATGGGTGCTTGCTCTTAAGTAATGTTAAATCTTTAAATTAAATTAAATTAAATCAATTAAATTTCATGAGAATACTGAAGCTGAAGATAGTTCGTTCTTTTTTATAAAACAAAAAAATAAATAAATTTAACTTATATATTAAATTCATTAAAATTAAAGTCTAACTTTAGTATTTTAGTTGTAAATGTAAGTATAATGTTAATAAATTGTTTTTGTATTTTGTTGTACCAAGCAAATATTTAATAAAATTTTGATTCTTGGTGTGTTTTGCTAATAATAAAACTTTTTATATATATACATTAATTATACAATATAAAATTTATAAAAAATAAAAATCAAAATATAAACTTAAATTTTTCGAACTTATTCATTTGTGTAAATTGACAATAACAAAATAATTAAAAAAACTAACAGAATATGCAAAAATAAGCTAATAAAATATTAAATAATAATATCTACGTGTAAATGTTTGAATTGTTTATATAAATATTTTTATTATTATAGAACTATAAGTACTAAATATTAAAACTTGAATTTCCAACATGAGAACATAATTTTATAAATTTCAAACTTATGATTGGATTAAAGACAAATAAATATTTTGGAAATAAATATTTATTTATAAAATTTTGATCTATAGTATAATAATATATATTTTGATATGTTATATATAATTCTTTAAAAATAGCAATATCGTTATAATTATATATAAAACTAACATTTATTTTTAACTACTTTATTAATTTAATTTAATTTTAATTTTAACATTTCTGAATTTAAAAATCTTATTATATTTATATTTATTTTTATATTATTTATTTATATTTTTATTTTATTTTATTATATTATAAAATTATTTGTTTTTATAACTTCTTATTGGCGACGGTTATATGTATAAAAAATGCTTCCGATAGAAGTAAAAATTCATAAATAAAATCTTTAGCTTGCAGTGGAGGTATCCATACCAGGGATCAATAGAAAGACCTTTAAATTGTTTCAAATATATGAAAATTTTTTCGATTTATAACTATATGCTATAGAAATTTATAAACTCGAACTTTTTTAAAAATTTATACAAAATTAAAACTTCAAAATTTAATAATAAAATTTAGAAGGACTTTTGGCTTGAATTAGTGAAATTAAATTAAATTGAAATTTACAAAAACTATTTTTGGATAAAATTCTATATGATTTGCATATAACTTCATAAAACTAGTTTTAATCAAAGTCAATTTAGCAATGTTCAGTTTCAACTTTCTAATTATACTGTGTTATACTATACATAATATACCATAAGTGCATACCAATTAGAGAATAAAAACCTCCAAAAGCTTCCTTCAAAGAAGCTAGTTTGATTCCTCGGGATACTAAATGTCTAAATTCAAATGGATGTACAATGGATTAAGCTGGCCGCAATGCATAAAGGCGTTAGCCTAACCCATATATAATATATTTAAAATAATATAAGACCCGTACATTATTATTGTTGTAATCCGGATCAAAGTTCAACAGATCCTTAAGACTCCTGAGCAAACAAAGTAGGAATGAATTATAGATAAAGTGATGAGTGACTGTAAGAAATGAGTTAATTAATTGGTGGAGTTTAAAAAATAGAAGGGTTTCCAAAACGAGAAACCCTTAAATATAAAGTTAAACCATTAGAACTTGGAGTACTAAGTACACAGAACAGTGCATTTAAATGGTATAAAAAAAATTACAGGAAGTTTTAGCACTCTAAGGGCCATGTTTT